TCTCCAACTTCCGTAACACCACTATCGAAAATTATGTCAGCGTAAACCAGGTTTAGTTATGATTTGTTTTGACAAGTTCAATCAGTAAGCCAATCAAACAGCAGTTGAGGTCAACGCGATTTTTGGGGAACGGGTAACCGAACTGGTTACGGCTTTTTAGGGCCTTAAATTGCGATTTTCGGCTGATCGTGATTTTTTTTGAAAAATTGCGTTTCCAAACAGGGCCGCGATTTTCATAATCAAATTGCAATCTGTAATTTACAATCTTGGGGCAAATGTGGCACTTCCAAACACCGCACAAATGATCGTGATTTAGGCAAAAGATCGCGATGTCAACTTTCTACTCTGACCAGAAACTATTATCGCGATTTTCCCTCGTGGGGGCGCCAAAACATGGCGTCTGAACACCAGGAGCGCGCGTCTTGGGACAGCGCGAAAGATGCCTTCCTGGTAGAGGCCATGACGCAGCAAGCGCAAGCAGGGAAGAGAGCTGACAGCGGCTTCAAGAAAGAAGCGTGGACCGAAGCACTCGCTGCGTTCAATACCCGTTTTCAGACGAAGCTGTTGAGGCAGCAGATCAAGTCCAGACTGACAGCGGTACGTAAATCGTTTACAGTGTTTTTTTACAGGCTCTATCTAAGATATTTTTTGTTTAACTACAGCTGAAAGGCATCTATACGTCGATCAAGGCGATGCCGGCGGCATTGATCGAACTGACCAGCATATTTTGGTTCGTTCTGTAGCAGCAGTGATGGGGTGGCTGGTTGGACGAGATACGTACTCGCCATGTTACAGACAACATCAAGAACACGGTAAAAATGCCTGTTTAAGTGACACCAAAGTGTTAGTCAAAGCACGGACGTAACCACAATGTGAAAACTCACTGATGAATGGTTTCTCCGCTGTGTTGAAGCGCTCTTGAAGATCGCTGTTCGAGGCGTTCTTTGCAATCCTGTAAAGGAAGATAGCTGCCTTCTCCTCCACACTGACACGGGACCAGGGTGTCTGTCGATCCGCGTTGTCAAGGGCAGCGCAAAAGCGCCTGAACACGGGCTTTGTCATGCTGTAGCTTCGGAACATGCGTGTCGGGTTTCCTTCAATGATCTCGGCTACCCAATCGGATCCCGTCAGGATGGAGTTGTGGAAAGGCTGCTTGTCGAAGCACGTGTGCCCATAGTATCCGGCGACGAGAGCTAATACACGGACGACGTCTTCATCTTCGTCAGATGCATCCTCTAGCTGAGCGACAGAGTCTTCACTCATGGGGAATCGCAAATCTGAAAGGTCATCTCTCGTTTGGAACCACTGAATTGCGAAGAAGCAGCGATCACGATCTTTTGGCCTTTGCGATTTTTGTCGTGCGGTGCCAAACGCGTCAAAATGCGATTTTCGCCTAGCAAGATGAGTTTGCAAACCGTCAGCAGTTCGTGATAAAAAATTGCGGTGGATCCAAACAACTCCGTGCCTTTGGGGACATCTCTACATGTTCCAAAAATCATATTCCAAAAGCAAAATTTGAACTTAGTTTTCTGGAATATCAGACTGGAACACATATAACACTCCCCGCGCGACCAAGGAAACCAAAGACTAGCAAGAACCAACTAACCGAAAAATATACTCAGTTGACATTTTTCCATCTACTACAACCATCTACCACGTGACAATGCTGCGCTTGCTGAACTCCGCCATTTCCGTGATGAATGCGAGCGCGGACTGGAGAGGAAGGGCGGATGCGAACTGGAGTAGAAGCGCGGGTGCAGACCGAAAAGGCAACTTGTAATATGTTAGGTCAAGTATAGGGAGTTAGAAAGGATTCGCGAATATAGAGGTATTCCGAACCTTGATCCATTGGAACTCTGTTACTCCACCGGGTCAACAATCATTGGAGCGTTTACAGAATGTTTCTCTCTAAGTACGATTTTATGTTCCGAGTTAGTCCAGGAACTAAAGTTCTCTTCTCTAGTATACGGTATACTAATTGGCATTTTCCATTTAAAAGTATCCCTTTTCCACAAAATAGATAATTTTGTAATTTTTATCGAAATAAAATACTATTATTTTCGGAAATTATTTTATTGATAATGCTATTTTCGGGTCCTGGAAAAGTACCGATAGTGTTTTTTAATGACGATAGCTGCTATCGGTGGCGGTCCCACCGCTGTCCCGCTGCGCTCCTCCGCCTCCATCCTCCCCCTGATAGCCATCTTAAGCCTGCTGTTCTTATGGCTACTCGTTGCGGTAAACAGAACCGTTCATGACCCCTACATGGTACCAAAGCGTTTGCCCTCCCGTGCCAACCCCTTCGCGCACTTCTAACCCAACTTGATGCATTTCCAACCGCCAGGACGAGATTTTCCACATTCCTCAAGCCCAGAAATACTGCGAAGGACGTTTTGGTGTGTAGAGTTGTTTTGTGGACTGGCACATGCCTTATCTATCCTGCTAACCAACTTGTGCCCTATTCTAGATGAATGGGATCCGAAGATTACTACGTTCCCGGGTCTGTATTTGGCATCAACATTGTACGCCAAAGCCGCTTTCACGCTCAATGTGGGCGACTTCTGCTCCGTAGCAGTACTCCGTAGTGTGAACTTGTTGTTTGCATTGGGGAATGTCGTGCTGTGCGTGTTACTGAGACGCCACGTGGCACCGCAAGACCCCAACGCGCTGCTACATGCACTGCGCATTGCAGTGTTTCCACCGCTACTTTTCTTCGCTTTCCTGTTCTACACGGACGCAGGAGCGACGTTCTTTGTGCTACTGATGGCATTGCTGGCGGAGAGGGTGGATCTGCTGCAATATCCTCCCGCGAGAGGGAGCTTTATGCTCAGTTCCTTGGTGCGTGAT